GTCCTCGGATCCGCGCTCCTGGCCGCGTGCCCTTGGGGTGCGCTCGGGATGGGGCGCCAGGGGGTGGGGGTTGGGGGGCGCGAGCCGCGGTCTCACTTGTGATAGTTCTCTCATAAGTATTAGTTGGTATTTCCCAATTTACGAAAAAATACGAATATAGTTTTTTGTTTTTTAAATTATAAAATAATTGTTCTTTTTTAACAGTGTGGACGAAATCAATATTCGAACATAAAGCAAAATGTGATATAATATTTTGTTTTAGATTTCCATTCGATACACTGATGTGATCTATGACGGTCGCAAAGTCGAATGAAAAACTAAGATCAATTGGACCATTTTCGTTGAAAATTAGCATCGAACATTCATTTCCTTTAACACCATTTTTTTACAATATTTCATTTTTACAAATGAAAAGAATGTTGTGAAGTGCCGGAAAAAATAAGTCGAGAATGAACAAGATGAAAAATTGATTTCCTTAATTTGAATCCTGTCTTAATATAACAATTTTTCATTTATTTATTACACACATAGATCCATCCTTAAATGTAACCATTTAATATAATTTTAAAAATGAAGGACAAATCAATGGTTAATAGATCAAATGAATACAGTTTTCAATTTATTCCTATTCAAATAACATCACAGATATAATCTACTATATTTTTCTAAACATCTTTCATCAAAAATTTCAAAAACAAAACAAAAAAAAAATTACATAAAAAACTAAGTTTTTTCATCACATATCTTTTTGCCTATTCATACAGAAAAAAGAAAACAACAATAATATACATTCATAGTATCATATATAAAGAGTTCAACAAAAAAAGTCATAATAAAGAACAAAAACAAAAAAGCATCTTTCATCGAATTTTCTTTCAGTAAGAAAAAATTTTTATCAGCCTATATATCATTGGAAACATCTGGAGGAGATGACAATAATCGACACTAAATCAAAAATAGCAATTTTAATATTCAAAAGATAAAATATATAACATACTAATTCATGCATAACATCATTACTATCATTGATAGGTTTTCGACAAAGTAAACATATCTAAAACATAATGTTCATAATATTAATCAATAGTTATATAAAAAAAAAAAAAAGATGTAGGTACTTTTGACTTAACTATTGTTATTGGATCAATCTGTCGAGAAGAAACTGATGGTATTGATGAACAACTTATCGACGATGAAATCAATCGACGTGTTCGTCTGTCTGCTCCAAACATAATCGGTGATGATTGAATTGAAAGACCTTTTATCATATTACTAAATAGATTATCTCTATTTACTAATGATTTATTTGATGTTATTATCTGATTAGTAACTAATATTAAATAATGAAGTTCATCTAAGATATTGCTTGTCAATTTCAATTCATTATATAAATCATTGTCATTTGATAATAATAATAAATATTTAAAATTTTCAAATAGTTTATTCATTAATTTAACCTTAAAGAAAAAAAGATCAGATTTTCAACATTAATAAAATTTAATTTATATACAAAAAAAGACCGATCTCGAACTAAACATAATTATATGAATTTCAAAAGTAGACAGAACGATATTTTGAACACCATCTTTCTCAGGAATGTCGAGTGTAAGCTCATACAGTCCGTCGAGTCTCCAATTTTCGAATCGCGAAATTGGATAGTCGTTCCGAAGATACCAGATACTTTTTTTAGGCTTTTTGTATATAGTCACTAGCGCATTCTACACATTCCTCAGATGACTAGAGCCCATTAGTCTAAAATTTTCGGAACTAGATCCGATCGGGTCTTGGCTCATGACCAACTCGATGGGTTCTAGTGATTCCAATCCTGAAGAATCTCGTTTTCTCCTGTTACAACTGAATGATTTTCTTCATTTTTTGCTCACCAACGCATACAGCAAGGGTCAACCTCCTTCCCAATGTCGTGAACACTACCTTCTCAGTATTTGAACTCCCTAGTTGTAATATCTCGGAACATCCCTGATCTTTTTTAAAATTCTTTTATAATAGTTAAAAAATATCTAGTGACATTTTTTGTACAAAGTATATGCATATTAGATAAAAAGTTTAAGGTAAAATTCATTTTACCCATTTTTATATTGAATATATTTAGTCAGAGATCGTATACAGAATCGTTTTGTTAATCGAGATAGAAACATTCTTTAAATACATACTGTACATGAGCTATAATCTCCAAGTAGGTTATGTTGATTATCATCATCATCATCTGTTTGTGTTGAACAATTGATTTGATCAATTGATTGATCATGTTGAACAGCAACATGATTAACAGAAACTCTTCTATGTTAAATAGAACGAACAAACTAAATTTAGAAAAATTGAAAATTATTCAAAATGTACTTTGATGCCTTTTTAATAGCTTCAATTGATTGAAGACTTTGTGCAATTAAATCATTAAATATTAATTTATATGTCGGATTATTTTCATTGTTTGTAGCTACCATTTGATTATTCTTATTCGTTACAAGAGAAAATTCATTAGCAAAAGGATTTAAATCCGATATTGGTTTTGTTTTTTGTTCAATGAATGTTAAAAAATCATTTGAATCAATATCGTTTGTCTTTTCATCAGATGGAAGAGATAAATTATTTTTTGGCATTATTCGTTTATTTTCACGAATATTTAAATTTTTATTTTGTTCAATTGGTCTTGGTATTAATGTTTGTGATGGTGTTGATAAAAGACCATTTGAATTTGAACAAAATGAGGAAAAATATGGATTATAATTAATTCCAAAATTAGGATAGACAGCTGTTCCATAAATATAATGTCCTGTTGTATTCGTATTTGTATATGGAAAGTGCATAGGCATTATATAGGAAACGAATTCGATTAATAAATACCCCTTTGCCCAACTGTAAATTTAAGAAAAAAATTTAATAGACAAATGAAAATATATTTCGTTTATAGTAGGTGTCGTAACTAGTCTGATTTTATATTACAAGAGAAAGTTTCTAACTTTCGAATCACTTTTTGTAACCAAATCTATTAGGTTATAGGTAATCGATCATGCTGATTTCGAATATCAATACAAGATCGACCACTAGAACTTCAGAGATCTTTTTTTCTGGAAAATCAGTTTTTTTAGATCGGAAATTTTTTTTGGTCCGTTCAGATTATAGAGCACGTTGAGTCGATTATAAAACATTATTTTTTCCTGTGTGCGAACCCATTACTAAGGCTATCAGAAACAATTCTTTCTTTTTCTTTCTGATTTTTATAGAAAAAAGTCCTTGTATTTTTTTCTCGCTTTTTCAAAGACATGTGTTTGAAACATAAGTGTCACTCGCACTTAGGGTACGTGTGTGTGGTCAGATGAGTCTTGCACATTCATTAGATTTGGTGCAAAAAGCAATTAGACAGTTCGGATGTTTTCGTCATCAATTTTGAGAGAATGACACGATACAGTTATTAAGAGAAAGCATACGAGATTGTAAACTTCTTGAATCAAATAATAAATGATAATTATAATTTGTACTTGGTGTATTACGAAAACGCGTTACTACTACAAATGACTATACATCTGAAATACATAAAATTCATTTACTCATATACAATTCATTGTAAAGTCATTGCATTAAATAAGTAGTTAGTATTGTTCAAATGTTAGAAATTTTGCTGTCTCTAGACTTTTCTTGAGTCGATCAAAAATGAAAAAGATAGTTTTATAGTTAACTCGACGTATTCTACTATTGGGAGGGATCGACAAAGTTTTTCTCTAGGAAAAACTGATTTCTCAGAAAATGAATTTCCGCAGTCCTAGCTGTCAGTCTCATATTAGTATTCGGAATCAGTATGGTAGATTACCATTTGGTGAAAAAAGCGATTAGATAGTTAGTGACTTTCCTTCGTTAGTCTAAATAACGACCGCAGAATGCTGACGTACATAAACATTCGGAAGATAAAATTATGGATGATATTGAAAAGTGGCACATTGACAACTCAAGGAGAAACACGTTAAACAAGAACCAATAGTGTGTACACACTGATAAATGAGCATGTGTATGTGAAATCAATTCACTGCAACATCAAATCTATAATTCATAACTATAAAAATCGAGTACAAAGGAGACGAGCAATCGAAATAGACAAAGTCTATGAAAAAATGGCAGCAATAACTCATGTCAAAGTAAAAGGAAAACTTATCGAGAATCAACACAATGGATACACTTGTCTACACTGTCGTAAGTCATTTAAGCCTCAATGAATCACTAATCATGTGAAATCATGAGCTAAGAATTTATGTAAGAAAAATGAAATCAGCAATTAATAAATAAATGGATCATCGAGAAAGCAGAGTCCTAATGATATGGACAAAATGATGGGTATGACCGTAACCTGCTTCATTATAAACATGAATATTGTACTCCGATAAGATGTCTCAACATTGGATCTTTACGATGAACAAACAAACAATTTCAACTCTTCAAAAGGCACTTTTACATTATTTCTCGGACTCTATTCTTTTCTTTTCTCTCTTCATTGTAAATTTTTGATCTTCAACTCACATCGAAAAATAAATGTAGAATAGACTCAGCTAAATTAGTTTTTCAAGAAGGAAAACTCGAAACGGCGCAAATATAATATATTCGAAAAATGTTATTTTTTATGATTAATTTAATGTTATTTTTTCAAAAAACAAATACGTTTTCTCTTTCAATGAAAAATAATCATATATTTATTGAATGTGGTCGATCAATAATTATCAAAAATCATTATTGGTTTTTATCGGAATTTTTAAATCTGTTAAGAACATTTAATAGAAATCATTCAATTCATAATCAACAAATACCATTTGATAATCTCTATTTAATTTTTAATCATATATTAATTCATTGTCAACAAGCCCATCATTCATATCAAATAAATAAAAAAAATCAAAATGTTGATCAATTATATCAATGGTTAAAAACACAAATAAAGAATTGAAGATTTTTTTTCTATTTGTTTGTATAGACTGTTGAGTGTGTATTTTAAATAAGTAAGTATATAATAAGAGAAAGAGAAGAAAAAAAGAAGAAAGAGCGAACCAAAGAAAAAAGAAAAAACATCAAATACATTGTGTTAGTCTTCATTCTGCGAAACACACACACATCAACAGATCAAGCAGCAAGAAGAAAAAAAAGAAATTTAGCAGCAGAGCATAGAGCAGTGAGACAAGAAGAGAGAAAAGAAAACATAATGATACACGCGCTGATTAAAACGACTAGAACAACTGCTTTCGCTCTGAGAAGAGAAACACACACAACAGCAGAGAGATAGGACAAGGAGACTGGTGTGAGAACTATGTTCACACGATTCCGGTCCATAACGATACGATAATTAGAAAGACACATACACACAGACATAGCCGTTGATGATAATAAAAGAAGATCATGAGAGGTGAGAAGCAGAAAAAAAAGCAGCTTACAGAAAAAAAATGAACGAGAGACAGAGAATTTCAGGCAAGACTAAAACCCGTATCAAACTTATGAATGTACGTGAGTGTGTGTGTATGTGGCAGACGTTGTTTCACCACTGTAAAGAAAGAACAACAACAGGAGTACAACAGAGACAAGAACAAAAAAAAAAAAAAAGAAAAAAAAAGGACAACAAGCAAAATTGGCAATACCAAACGTACAAAAAATATGTCCACCAGCCTAGAGAATCAGAGAGAAAAGAGATAAACAAAGAAAAAAAAGTTTTTTTTTGTATTGCTTGAAGGAAAATAGGTAAGAAGGCTGGCTCTTGTTGTTGTCGTCGTTGATGTGGCAAAGCAGATCTTTTCTTTTAAAAAGTTTATAGAAATTGAGGCTAATTCCAAATCCTCAAAAAACTATCCCATGAGCCAGTCGCTACAGCCATTCCATCTTCGGTTACACCAAGACAACTGACACGATTATCATGGCCAGCCAAAACGCCTATTTAAATAAAACAAAAAAGATCAATTTAAAAATAAAATCAATAAATAACAACTTACCAGCACGTTCAAGACGAAGTGTGTCCCAAACATTGCAATTAAAATCATCATAGCCAGCCAATAAAAGACGACCCGATTTCGAGAAGGCAACCGATGTTATACCACATATAATATTGTCATGTGAATACATGCCTACTTCTTGATCAGCACGAATATCGAATAGACGACAAGTTGCATCGTCTGATCCAGTAGCAAATGCCGATCCATTTGGAAAGAACTATATATATCATCAAAAAAAAAAAAGATTTCTTTTTAAAACTGTTTAACAACATACGGTCACAGCATTGATATCCGACTCATGGCCGGGAAATGTTTGTTTACACATGCCTTCTCGAATATCCCAAAGCTAAGAAAAAAAAAACTGATTATTTAAATAAATTTATTATTTGAATTACTTTTGCCGATGCATCGCAAGCACCCGAAACAAATGTTTTCATATCGGGTGATAATGAAAGTGACATAACATCACCTGTATGTCCTTGAAAACTAGTCGTTTGTTGTCCAGTTTCAATATCCCACAAAGCACTAAAAACAAAAAAATGAACAAATTAATAATAAACAAATAAGAGTATTTAATATTAACCATGTCATATCTCCTGAACTTGTCACTATTTGAGAATCATCAAGAAAACGACAGCATGATAAATATCCCGTATGACCGGGTAATTCTCGACTAACACGTACACTTCCTTCACGTGTTTTTAATGAATAAATTGAACATATATTGTCAAGGCCACCGCAAGCAACAAAATTTCCAGATGGTGCATAAGCACATGTCATTACCCATGATGAACGAAGAGGAATAGCATGAACCTTAAATTAAAAATAAAAACTATACATTCACTTTTTTATCAAATTAAAAAAAATACCTTATTAGTAGTATATGAATCCCATACAATAAGTTTACCATCTTGAGAAGCGGACACGAGATTTCTAGAGGACGAGCTAAGTTAAGAAACGTCAAATGAATAACTTATATCAAAAAATTCATACAAACCTTGCATCAGATCCCCAATGCATAGCGTAGATTTTGGCAAGATGACCGCGAAGTGTTCGACGTGTACGCATTTGTATACGACCAATTTGATCGACATTTTGTGCTACTTGTAATAGAGTAGCATCACAAGCAGCCTTTCGGGCGTCCTTTATAAAAGAAAAGACAACCATATTGAATCGAACGATTCAATGGAATATCAATTGATACATACACGAATTTGATTTTTGAGCGACTCGGCTTCTTGACGTAAGCTTTCAATATCATTCATTCTGATTTAATATTGATTCAAAAGGTAAGGAATAAAATAATGGGAAAAAACGAAGAAAAGAAAAATTGATTTAATTACGAATTGAGATTGTTGAATAAACCTTTGAACAAGAAAATAAAAAGTATTTTAATTTTTATTCTATCCATCCAATCTTTGAAATTCTTAAATTATTTGAAATTTTTTTCATTCAACAATTCTATATACATTAGAAACAAAAAAAGTCTTTCTAATTTTCAATACAACCAAACCAATATCCTATGTTACAGCCATGGCTAAGAAAATACATCAAATCGAGAAAAAATTCTCGTTGTTATCTAACCAGCAATATTAGCTGTGCGTGCGTCACAATAGTCCTTGTTCGTTCTCTCTCGTGTTCCTTCTTGCGAGACGAGAATGATGACGCCGACACTGTGTGACAGTCAATATATGTATGCAATCTACTATTGCTTTTTTTTACTGTCACTATTACCGGTACTATACCAACACTATCATCGTCATCGATGGCAGCAATGGTAGTAGTGTACGTGCGTGTTCTTCTCTGTTTGAATCGAGTGACGCACTCGCGCGATTTCTTCTCTTCCTCAACAT